AAAAGTTTGGGAACCACTGATCTAGAACATGCACTGAGCAGCTCCCTTTGAACGCTGTGTGAGAACAGTGACCCTGTTAGAACACGCACCACCTCCTCAGAGCCAACCACAAATTAGTTCCTGCCTCAGGCGGTCAGATCAGTCGAAAGCTTCACAAGTTTTAATTTTTCACTTTATTGTCCAACTTCCTCTAAGAGGTAATCTTTTGAGTTATTTTGTAACCGTACAGCCCTGCTTCCTGTGTCGGACCAACAGAAACCATGCCTGAACACGTTTCCGGACAGCCCTGCTCACTCGTCACGTCTCGTTTTTAGAACACACCTGTCACGTTGACGGAGTAGATGAGGTCTTCCGGGACTTTGTGCCAGACGTCGACCAAGCTGGCGGCGTGGATGACGACATCTGCTCCGCGGACGGCTTCCAGCACGCTGCTGTAGTCCGTGATGTCACCTCGAATGACGACCACTTTCGTCCGCTCTGTGGAGGAAAGTGASACAGAAACCAGCGATGAGACGAAAAAAAGGGACGAGTTTCCCTCTCCAGTCCAGGCGGTTCAAGGGCACGGGAAGAAGAATCCGTGTTTTACAACCGGGGTTTGTTTATCACCAAACTTCCCACACAAATACATCCTGTTTTTATGCAGAATTTACAGAAAATATTTCCTCAAACATTTCCTCATGAGTCAGTGGTTTGTGAGATATTTTACTAACAGAGTCATGCTGTATGCCTAAAGCCCTGCATGGTTTATCAAGGCTATTCAACTGGCAGCCCACGGGCCAAATTCGGCCTGCGAGTGACCAAAGTTCGGCCAAGAATTGGTTCATTCATCTCTTTTATTACATTGTGTTCTGTATGTTGTATTTAATCAAAAATACAGCAAAATAAACTAAATCAAAAGTAACAGATCTTTATAATAATTTATTTACATAATAACTTTAATTACTGGATGTTCGGCCCGAGCTGTTGGTCTGCAGTAACTGTGGCCCCCGGAGCAGTTTAGTTGAATAGCCCTGGTTTAGATTAGGAATGCACAATACAGTATATCGGCATTCATATCAGTATCGGTCGATATGTAAAACTGGGCAAATATTAACATCCAATATTGATTTCCCAATTTTTATCTTTGAGTTTCTGTTTTGGGAGGGGAGATGTTTGGTTGAGTGGTATCTGTTTGATCATGACAGTGATATTTACGCTGCAAGTACAGCCATGTCAGAGGTCTGGTTGTTTATTTACTGTATCAAAATAGACCCAAGTGTGTTTGTGTGTATATTAGGGGTGTAAGAAAATATCGATACACTGAAATATCGCAATATTTCATTTCCTGATACTGAATCGATATCCTAAAGCCCTGTATCGATTTTTAATTAATGTTTAAAATGTCAACCTTCTTGCCAACTGTTCATTTTTATGTTGTAGTTCATCCTCTGACCACTAGTTGGCAGCAGTGAGCCAGACATTTGGCTACTTTACCTCTTGAGCACCAGAGAGTAAGGGTAGCGTTAGCATTGTCAGTAAACATTAGCTTTTCTTCTTTTTTTTTTCAGTAAGAGGTTATTTTGTAGAATTTTTGGACAAAAAAAAAATCACAATATATATCGCAATATATTGCCTTGCTTATAGTATCGCAATATATCGGGATATATCGTATCGTGACCCCTCTGTTATGATATATATCGTATCGCCAAATTCTTGCCAATACACAGCCCTAGTGTATATGTATAATATAATTTGTGTGTTTGTKTAACATSGGTAAATATTGGTTWTCGGCCATAAAAGCAATAATTATAYTGGGTATCGATGACGGCTTTAATGTTCACATCGGTGCCTCCCTAGTTTAGAGGTTTCCTGCTTCGACACACCTGACTGACATTAAGAGTGATTTCCAGCTTTCTGCTGAATTTGAAGCAGGGAAGCAGCTAAACCATGCAGGACAGTGGGTCACGAGGAACGGGGTGAAGGACCTCGGGTCCAGACGGTGCCAGACAATAATCTTTTCAAGGTCGTGATTCTCTGGTTTGTTTTCTCTCACAGCGGTCGWCCTTGAAATGCTGATAAGAGCGACGCAGACGGAGAGGGGAAATAAAACTGGACTTTTGAACCTACAATAGTTGATTCTTAAGATAAATGGCTTAAACCCTTTACATGAATAAATACATTTCATCACTCCTCTGAGTCCAAGAAGATCTCTGTGATCATCAGATCTGAGTCCCATCATAAAATCAATGAGAACTAAAAAGGATTTGTTCCTCTAAGTGATGTGGAAGATAATCTACAGCCACACGTCTCTTATGAAAAGGAAAAAAAATACGTTGTGGTTTATTTAACTAATGACGTTTACAGGAAGTAAATAACCAAAGAGTTTTCAGGAAGAACAAACAAACAGGTAAATTTTTAAATTATGCAAGAGTTTATTACAGCGAGACGTTATAAAGAATCCCGTGTGCTTCGATGGAAAACTGATAACTGGTTTTGCAACATCAAAGTTTAACTTGGACCCTGTCAGGGAGTCTGGGCTGCCATACTGCAAAATAAGATGTTAATTTCTTCCCAAGAAAATACAGGGTCAGCATCAATCCGATGTGATGTGTGGGAGAGCAGAGAGATTATCATCCACATTATTATTTACTAAATATTTCATCTGAATATTTTAATTAATGCAGAGATAAAACATGTTTTCTTTTACACTGCACTGCTGAATCATGTGCAAAGCTYATTTTCTGTCACTGATTAAAACAAACCCCAACTATGTCCTAATTATGACTTACAGTTCCTGATGGTTTGACAGCATATCATTATATAAATTGCACCTCTTACTGGTGACGTGCCAAGTCATCATTTTGATTTAGTGTTTTTTAATTATGACTTAGAGGATCTTTGTTTTCTTTAATGTGAAAGGTTGCCATTGCAACGTAATAAAGTATCGATTTTAACTTATTTTTTAAACCAATGGTGTTTGATTTTTATTGGTTAAACTTAATTAAACCATTTAAAATGTAAGTACCAGACCTAATTTTGTAATTAAGAGATTGTTTTATTATGATAGAGGCAAATTAAATTAACAATAAAAGTTACAAAGCAGAGGAGAAGCTTCATCACCTCAATTATTTAAAAGGTTTTCTGCGTTTTTTGTTACAAAAATGTTATTTGTAAGCTCTCATAAAGATTCCAACATTGAGCCACAGGTTCGGGTCCATTTTTTAAAAAAATTATGCGTAAAAACAGAGGACGTCCTTACCGGTGCTGAGTCCGTTCAAACCCAAATCTACGTGTTTGTCAAACACCCGAACCTCGACCAGTTCTTCCTCTTTCTCCAGCAGAACCCTGAGCAGATGGCTGCCGAGGAAGCCGCAGCCTCCGGTGATCAGATAAACGAGCCCTTTTTCCGTCATGTTAGCAGCTCGTCTGTCTGCACACAGCATCGACCTAAATTAGTGGCACGAGACTGAAGTGGAACGTTTTATAGGCAGGGGGCGGAGCCCAGCGCGGATCCAAGCCCACTTAGGGGTGGTCTTTTAAAACGCCTGATTAAAAAAAAGTTATTTCTTTATTTCTTTATTTATTTGTTTATTTATTTATTTATTTATTTA